ATCAGTTCAAAAAAATATAATTGTTTACTCTAATCATAGTAACATATATATTTTAAAAAAGAATAAAATATTGTTATTAATTATTTTATTTTTGAAAAAAATATTTAAAAATGAATAGAATCACATAATATTTTTATTGTATTAAAATGGTGGTTATTAATCTGAATTCGCCATTCTAGTTTGTTTATTAATAAAGGAGTACAAAGTTATCATTGGTTTGTTTTTACGAAATCTTGATTATCTTGTTGATTGGCAAAGAAAAAAAAATCGAATCAACCAAAATTGTGGGAAAAGTTTTTTCCTCTTATCTCTACCTTTCAATCTCAATCTTTATCTTTATTTCTGGTTTTTGATAGATATATTATAGGATTAAAAAAAAAAAGACCAGTATGAATGTATATTATTAGGAAAATTTTTTTGAAAAGAAAATTGTTTACGTAGCACTACTTTCTTTATTCAATAAATCAATAAATATGAATAAAAAAATCACAGGATCGATCCCTATTATACAAGCTTTTCATTATCTTATATACTGTAAAAATATATATCGTAAAGAAATTGGTAATGACATTAAGAAAAGAACCAATATTTCCCATTTTAGCAAAAGAAAATTTTTAATTAATGTAGAATTTTAAAATTTTATTAATTAAAGTAGAATTTTATTTTTTAGAAAATTATCCAGAAAAAAAAAATAAACTTCGGAAAAATTATCAGCTAAATAAGTTTTAATGCATGCACGATCACATCAAGGTATAATAACAGAAATAGTTAAACCATACTGTTACTTTTACAGTATTTAACTGCTAAATCAGTAATTTGAATTCGTAAATAGAGTACAGCGTGGATGGATTGGATTTAATGAAAAAATGTCTTTTTAAGTTTTTAAATTTAAAATATTACCTAAAAATTTAACCTTTTCAGATTTAGAAAATGAACGTACCCGAAGAAAAGTAATTATAAAATATAGAATGAATTATAAAAATAAAAAAATAAAATATTTATGTTATAAACTAAAATATTTTCAGACATTCATGGTTCGGACAAATAAAAGATGCGATTGAAAATGAAGCGAAGAGTTTTCAAGCTGAAGAACATGCTATAAAAGCTTTTGATGATTTGGACGATAGAATTATTGAAAAATTAAAGGACACTTCTCTCTATCCTGAACTCGAATGGGATGCAACTGTGAGGTATCTTAACGAATTTTAAATAAATTTTAAATAAATAATTTTAAATATATTTTAAATAAATTCTAAATATATTTCAGAAATAATAATGATTTAAGTAAAGAAGAAATAAAATTTATTCATGATAGAAAACTTTTTATCCGTGAAGCATTCGCAAAATATATGGGAGTCGATGTTAGTGAAATTCATGTTGATGATATTCCAGTAATTGCATTTATAGGAAGCGGTGGAGGATACAGAGCCATGATTTCTTTTACTGGTATAATATTTATTATTCACATTTATCCAATGATTTATTATATCTTATAATTTATTATAATTATTATGTTTAATTAGCTTTTCTCAGAGCTGTCCAAGAATCTGGACTTTATGATTGTGGTGTATATAGCGCAGGTGAATACATAAATATATATATGTAACATATAACCGTTAATGCGCAATAGTATCTAATATATATATAATATAATAAATTATTATTTTTTAATATAATTTTTAGTTCTCAGTGGTAGTTGCTGGGGTATGGGTCGACTATATACAACAGTTGCTCAATCACATGAGAATCCAATTCAAGCATCATTAGAATTTTATAGAACCGAACTTGAGCATAGTCTTATTAATGCATATGGCATCTTAAAAGGATTTGCTGAAACTTCTGATCCACAGACAGCTGTTGAATTAACATTTGGATCATTAATCCGGAAAAAAGCAACCGGGATGAAATTATCAATTTTAGATGTTTTCAGTGCATTGTTAGCCGCAAAACTTATGATCGGTGAAGATCCCACAAAACAGTTTGGTGATTTTAAATTGAGTGAACAAAGGAAATATATTGATGGTGGAAAGAATTTAATGCCTCTTTATGTTTCGTAAGTTTACAACAAGTTTATTATAAATTTTATTATAAAATTTATTACATTAATCTTATTATGTTTTATTGTATTCATAGAATTTTTCATATTCGTCCATGGAAAGAAGATGCTCTTAAATCAGAAGAAGCGGCATTATTTCCAAATTACGAAGAAATGTTTGAAAAACATAAAATGAAGAAAGATTATTATAGGTGGTATGAATTCAATCCTTATGAAATTGGAAATGAAGAAAATCCGGGTTAGTTTATTATTATTATTTATTATTATCATTCATTCCTAATATAAATCTTATTATAATAATAATTTTATAATAGCATGGATTCCTTCTTGGGCATTCGGTAGAAAATTTGAATTTGGAAAAAATGTTGAACGATTTCCTGAACAAAGTTTTGGCTTGTTACTTGGGTTAGTAAATATAATTTAATACGATATAATGTAATATAATTTTACTTATTATAGTTTATCAATCATTATTATTAGCTTAATGGGTGCAGCGCTTTCTGCTTCACTTAAAGCAATAGTTGAAGAAATTCCAAAATTTCTTCCCGATGGAAAATTTAAAGATGAACTTAAAGACCTTTATGATGAAGCCATGGAAAAAATTGGAACTCAAAACCAACAAGTATTTGAAGGACATCATCCAATTCCACAACCAAATGATTATAATTTTTCATATCATCTTCATCCACCACCACCATATAAACTTGGACCTGACAATAATGAAATATTTCACTTTGGCGATGCCGGCCCATCGAATGATCTGCCCATGTATCCCATATCTCATCCAAAAAGAAAGATTGATGTTGTCATTGGATTTGATTGTTCACCTAGCATCGTTGATCATAAAATTTTTGATGAGAAACAAGATGTTTTCTGTAATCGAAGAGGTCTCAATAGAATTACTCGTGACGTGACTAACAAATATTGTGAAGTTTATGATTTCGTTCCAACCGGTAAAACCAATGATGAATTTTTACCTCCCGCACAAAAACAATTTGTATTATGTTACATGCAATATCTCCAAAATGATAAGGTGGATCCTAGTTTTGTACCTGCTAAAGCATTATTTACTAATATCCTTAATTTTAGTTATAACACTGATCAAGTTGATTTAATGATTAAATTAGCAAAAGCTAATTGGCTGGAATCCGAAAAACAAGTTAAAGAAATTATCATTGATACTTGGAAGAAAAAGAGACATGCAAGATTGAATGGAATTAATTTTCCATAATTTATAAATCATTTATTCTATCTTATTTGTTTTTATAATTGTTATTAAATATGTATTATGTATGGTTATTATTTAAATTATTATATTTTTTATTATTAAGTATTTTGAAATGGAAAATACGAAAAAAGGATTAATATGCGTAAAAAATAAAATCGATAAATAATCTAAAAATAATAATATAAGAATATAAAATAAAGATCGTTTTTATTGGGAATCAAAATGTAATCTATCCAAGTAATACATATATTTATATTTATCCGAGTAAACAAAGAACCAAGGCTTCATTTTTTTTCACGAGCGAGAATCCATTGGAGCTAATAATCGATGACCTGTGCGCTGAAATAATAAAAAAACAATTGAAATAAATAATCGATAATTAACAGCAATTAAATATATTTATATTTTGGTGTTAATGTCAGTTTTTTCATGATTTTTGTGTAATCACTATTTCACGAAAATCTTGATCTGTTGATTGATAAAAAAAAAATCTAATTAACCTCCATTCGTGAGGTTAAAGGTTTTTTTCCTCCCATCTTTTATCTATATCTCTACCTCTTTATTTCCGACTCCTAATTATGAGTATATATTATAGGATTAGATAATATAAGAAAAAAATGGCGAGAGTAATATATTAAGGAAAATTTTTTTTTGAAGAAAATTGTTTAAATAAATATAAAAAAATGACCGGATTCCTGTTATACAATCCTTTCATTATCTTATATACTTACTGTAGAAATATAAATAAACATATGATGATATCCAATATTTTACCTTTTAGCATTTAACCAAAGAAATTTTTATTAATTAATGTAAAATAGAGAAATTATCCAGAGAAAAAATAAAATTATTAGTTAAATAAGCTTTAACGCGTGCACGCATCAAGGTATAATAACAAAAATAGTTAACCCGTACTGTTATTTTTAAAGTTTACTTTTACAGTATTTAAATTTATTATCTACTATTAAATATTGAGTACGACAGACTTCGTCAGTCGTCATACATGGATCGATTTATGAATGGATTCAATGAATTGATTTAATGAGTTATTTAATGAATGGATTTGAGGAATGGATTTGAGAAAGGATTTAATGAACGCATTGATCAATTTGCGAAAAAAAAAGTCTTTCTCTTTTGAAGGTAAATTTAAGTTTGTATTTTTTAAGTTATTAATTTCAAAGTTTTAATTTAAAATATTACAATCTAAAAATTGAACCTTTTCTAATTTAGAAATGACCGAAAATTCCGAAGAGAAGTAATTATAAAAATATATAATTAAATATTTATATAATAAATTATAATATCTTCAGACATTCATGGTTCGGACAAATCAAAGAAGCTATTGAACATGAAGCGAAGAGTTTTCATTCTTAGGAAATATTATGAAAGCTTTTGATGATTTGGATGATAGAGTTATTGAAAAATTAAAGAACACTACTCTTTATCCCGATCTTGAATGGGATGCAACTGTGAGATATCTTTATTATTTCTGAAATATATTTATTTAAAATATTTGAAATTTATTAAAATTTATTTAAAATTCGTTAAATATAATTTATTTAAAATATATTTATGATTTAAGTGAAGAAATAAAATTTATTCATGATAGAAATCTTTTTATCCATAAGCATTCGCAAAATATGTGGGAGTTGATGTTAGTGAAATTTATGTTGATGTAGATGATATTCCAGTAATTACATTATGGGAAGCGGTCTGTTATTGGTATAATATTTATTATTCACATTTATCTAATTATTTATTATATTTATTATTTATATTTATTATGTTCAATTAGCTTTTCTCAGGGCTGTCCAAGAATCTGGACTTTAAGATTGTGGTATATATCTTGCAGGTGAATATATATATATGATAATGGATATAATACATATATAGTATATAACTGATAATATAATTATTGTTATTATTTTTAATATAATTTTAGGTCTCAGTGGTAGTTGTTGGAATATGAGTCAACAATTACTCAATTACACGAGAATCCAATCCAAGCGTTGTTAGAATTTTATGGAACCGAATTTGCACATAGTATTATTAATGCACGTGGCGTCTTAAAAGGATTTGCTGAAACTTCTGATCCACAGACAGGTTTTGAATTAATTCAGAAGAAAGCTTCCGGGGTGAAATTATCAATTATAGTGCATTGTTAGCCGAAAAAATTATGATCGGTAAAGATCCCACAAAACAATTTGGTGATTTTAAATTGAACGAACAAAGAAAATATATGATGGTGGAAAGAATATAATGCCTCTTTATTTTTCGTAAGTTTAAAACAAGTTTATTATGAAATATATTATTATTTATCAAGTTTATTTTTATTATATTTTATTAGATTTATTATATTTTATTATATTATTACATTTTATTATATTTATTATATTTTATATTTATTATATTTTATTATATTTATTAGATTTATTATATTTTATTATATTTATTATATTTTATAGAACTTTTCATGTTCGTCCATGGAAAGACGATGCTCTTAAACCAGAAGGAGCGACATTATTTCCAAATTACAAAGAAATGTTTGAAATACATAAAATAAAAAATGATCATTATAAGTGGTATGAATTCAATCCTGGAAATGAAGAAAATTTCGGTTAGTTTATTATTGGTTATTATTATGATTTTCTATTATCATTCATTCCTAATATTAATCTTATCATAATAATAATTTTATAATAGCATTGATTCCTTCTTGGGCATTCGGTAGAAATTTGAATTAGGAAAAACTGTTGAACGATTTTCCGAACAAAATTTAGGCTAGTTAATTGGGTTAGTAAATATAATTTAATATAATATAATATAATGTAATATAATATAGTTTTACTTATCATTATTATTAGTGTAATGGGGGTGCCGCTCCTTCTGTTTCACTTATAGCAGAAATTAATCAACTTCAATTATTACTTCCTGATGGAACAATTAGAACTCAAAACAAGAATTTGAAGGACTTCATCCAACTCCACAACCAAATGATCACAATTTTTTCATGTCATCTTCATCCATCACCACCACATAAACTTGGGCCCGACAATAATGAAATAGTTCACTTTGGCGATGCTGGCGTATCAAATGATTTTCCCATGTATCCCTTAACTCATCCAAATAGAAGGATTGATGATGTCATTGGATTTGATTGTTCAACCAGTGTCGTTGATCATAAAGTTTTTGATGAGCAACAAGGCTTTTCCTGTGATCGAAGAGGTTCAATAGAATTACTCGTGTCGTGACTAATAAACATTGTGAAGTTCATGATTTCATTTCAACCAATGATGAATTTTTACCTCCCACGCAAAAACAATTTGCATTATGTTACTTGCGATATCTCCAAAACGATCCTAATTTTGAACCTGCTAAAGCGAACTCTACCACTCGCTTTAATTTCGATTATACCATTTCTCAAGTCGATTTAATGGTTAGATTAGCAAAAGCAAATTGATTGGAATTCGAAAAACAAGTTAAAGAAATTATCATTGATACTTGGTAGAAAAAGAAACATGCAAGAATGAATAGAATTAATTTTCCATAATTTATAAATAATTTATTCTATCTTATTATTTATTTTTATTGTATAAATATTTATTTTGTATTATTCTATGTATTATATTTTATTATTAAATATTTTGATATAAATTTTATTGAATACAAGAAACGTACATAATGGATTTAATAATATAGTTCATTGATGAAAATATGAAAAAAAAATTAAATTAATTAATTAAATAAGCGTAAAAAATAAATGTATCGTATCGTTAAATAAACTTAAAATAATAATAATATAAGAATATAAAACAATTAAACAAAGAACCAAGGCTTCATTCTTTTACACGAGTAAAAATCAATTGGAGGTAATAATTGACGACTTGTGCGCTGAAATAATAAATAAACAATTGAAATAAATAAATAATCAATAATTAACAGCAATTACAGCAATTTCAATAATAAATTATTACATACGTTCATGATAAAGTTCAGGCCATAAACGAAAAGTTTTTTTGGGAAGGGTTAATTAAACAATTACACAATAACAACAATTATAAGGCAATATTGCTACGGACTACAGTTACCATTAAATTGGCATTGATTGGTTAATATAACAATTGTACTTAAATTTTTTTTTACCAAAAATAAACTTGCATTGTTTGTTTATTAATAAAGTCAAGTCACAATTAGTTATTTTATTGTTTTACACAAAAATGTTATAACCTTAAAGATAAATAACGATTTTTGTGTCATCTCGCGTGATGATCTACAAAGGAAAAAAATAAAATAAGAAAGTGAGTACTATATTAGGGAAATTTTTTTTTGAAGAGGAAAAAATCGCCGGATTCCTGTTATACAATCCTTACATTACCTTATATACAAAAATTATAAATAAATATATATGATAGTCATTGATAATGGCATCCAAATATTACATTTTAGCCAAAGAAATTTTTTATTAATTAGTATAGAATTTTATTACATAGAGAAATTATCTAGAGAAAAAAAAATAAACATCGGAATTATCAGCTAAATGAGTTTTTAACGCATGCACACATCACGGAAAATCGTTTAACTGTCATCAAGGTATAATAACAAAAATAGTTAAACCATACTGTTATTAAAAAGTTTACTTTTACAGATAACAAATGAATCTTGATTTTAAATACTGTTATTAAATATTGAGTTACAACAGGTTTCGTCGGTTGTCATACATGTTTCGTCGGTCGTCATACATGGATTCGGAATTGATTTAACGAATGGATTTAATGATTGAATGGATTTGAGAAAGGATTTAATGAACGCATTGATCCATTTCGCGAAAAAAAAGTCTTTCTCTTTTGAAGGTTAATTTTAAATTTTTTAAAATTAATAACTTAAAAAAAAAACTTTAAATTTTAAAGTTTTAATTTTTAAAATATTACCTAAAAATTAAACCTTCCAAATTTAGAAAATGACCGAAAATTCTGAAGAGAAGTAATTATGAAAAATGTATAATTATAAAATAAATTATAAAAATAAAAATATTTATATAATAAATTATAATATTTTCAGACATTCATGGTTCGGACAAATCAAAGAAGCTATTGAACATGAAGCAAAGAGTTTTAATTCTTTGAAAGCTGAAGGAAATGTTATGAAAGCTTTTGATGATTTGGATGATAGAGTTATTGAAAAATTAAAGGACACTACTCTTTATCCCGAACTAGAATGGGATGCAACTGTGAGGTATATTTTAAATATATTTAACGAATTTTAAATAAATTTTAAGTAAATAATTTTTAATAAATTTCAAATATTTTAAATAAATATATTTCAGAAATAATAATGATTTAAGTGAAGAAGAAATAAAATTTATTCACGATAGAAAACTTTTTATCCGTGAAGCATTCGCAAAATATGTGGGAGTCGATGTCAGTGAAATTCATATTGATGATATTCCAGTAATTGCATTTATGGGAAGCGGCGGAGGATTTAGATCCATGATTTCTTTTACTGGTATTATATTTATAATTCACATTTATCTAAAAATTTATTACATCTAATAATTTATTATATTATTATTTTATATTTATTATGTTTAATTAGCTTATCTCAGGGCTGTCCAAGAATCTGAACTTTATGATTGTGGTGTATATCTCACAGGTGAATATATATATATATACTGTATAACTGATAATGCATATAATACATATATAGTATATAACTAATAATATAATAATTATTATTATTATTTTTAATATAATTTTTAGGTCTCAGTGGTAGTTGTTGGAGTATGGCTCAACTATATTCAACAATTGGTCAATCACACGAGAATCCAATCCAAGCATTGTTAGAATTTTATAGAACCGAACTTGAGCATAGCATTTTTAATGCACATGGCGTTTTAAAAGGGCTTTCTGAGACTTCTGATCCACAGACAGCTGTTGAATTAGTATTTGGATCTTTAATTCAGAAAAATGCTACCGGGGTGAAATTATCAATTATGGATGTTTACGGTGCATTGTTAGCCGCAAAACTTATGATCGGTAAAGATCCCACAAAACAATTTGGTGATTTTAAATTGAGTGAACAAAGAAAATATATTGACGGTGGGAAGAATTTAATGCCTCTTTATGTTTCGTAAGTTTTACAAGTTTATTATAAATTTTATTATAAATTTTATCATATTATTATCAAGTTTATTCTATTTCATTAATTTTATTATATTTTATAGAACTTTTCATGTTCGTCCATGGAAAGAAGATGCTCTTAAATCAGAAGAAGCGGCATTATTTCCAAATTACGAAGAAACGTTTGAAAACCATAAAATGAAGAAAGATTATTATAGGTGGTATGAATTCAATCCTTATGAAATTGGAAATGAAGAAAATCCGGGTTAGTTTATTATTATTATTTATTATTATCATTCATTCCTAATATAAATCTTATTATAATAATAATTTTATAATAGCATGGATTCCTTCTTGGGCATTCGGTAGAAAATTTGAATTTGGAAAAACTGTTGAACGATTTCCTGAACCAAGTTTTGGCATATTACTTGGGTTAGTAAATATAATTTAATGCGATACAATGTAATATAATGTAATATAATATAATATAATATAATATAATATAATATAATTTTACATATCATTATTATTAGTGCAATGGGTGCTGCGCCTTCTGTTTCACTTATAGAAGTAATTAAGGGATTGGAAATATTTCTTCCTGATGGAAATTTTAGAGATGAACTTAAAAACCTTTATGATGAAGCCATGGAAAAAATTGGAACTCATAACCAACAAGTATTTGAAGGACACCATCCAATTCCACAACCAAATGATTATAATTTTTCATATCATCTTCATCCATC